TACTGATGAATATTGAAATCTGTGATAAAGGAGACCATAAGGGAAAAGGATAGAAAGAAGCTGCGTATAGCTAGAGTGAAGCATACGATATTAAATACCCACGCATTTTCCGTTGAATTACGAGAAAGTGTATACAAGATCACAATCGATCACTATCAATTGCTGTTGTCTGGGATATGCAAATACCACAATGACGTAAGGAAAAAGTATACTTATTCCCTATCAACGTGCTATAATACCCGTCATATTTGCTTTACAAGATCTTAATGGTCGATTTTGAACGGACGATCAGGCGGTTATTTCAAGTTTAAAAAGAATAGAAGTGGTAGATGATTTCAGATAAATTGCGATTATATAGATTTTTATCACTTAAGATGATCCGTCATACAGTATGAGTTTTGTTATTTGAATCAAGAATACTTTATAAAACTTCTCCTGTCGATGCGGGGTAAAATTTTTGATGGTACTAAAAATTCGATATCAGAGAGCATATAGAATTATATATTCCTTGATCAATCTTTAGTAAATTTACATGCTATTGATACTATAATTTCCTCGTCTGATCTTCTTCATCAACGGCCATATTAATAATAAAAAAGCTGTTAGATAGATATCGAGATATTAGAAAATAGATGGTAAAGAAGTCTTCTGAAGATGAATACTTATCGTTAAGCTCGATATAGTAGAAAAAGCTTCAATAAACGAAGCATGTCTACAGTACACTATAATTATATACTTAATTTTCTAATTTTGACACTTTGTCGTATACAGACTGAAAGTATGCTCCTACGTTAAAATCAATTCTATGATTCTAAATGGTTTATTTTAAACCACTGTATGCGTGCAGTCTTATATTATTCCTCTATTACCGAAAAAAAAATATGCTTATTGTTTTTTAATAGTAGTTTAATATTACGTTGTATTCTCTTTAAATTTTATTCAAGTACCCTCTGTGATTTCTAGTGCTATAAGAAGATATTCAATATTCTTTGATTAAATTTATCGACGCTCGTTTTAAATTAGCGATAAGTCCTTTTTAAAGTGCTGTAACGTTCTATATAACTTCAGTCTTTTAACATATATACTTCTACATCTTCTTTACTTTTTATATGGGATTCATTTTAGATTTTTCGAGAGATATTCTTTTTCTAATTGATTACAATGCTGTAGTATGATTTGTAATTACCGCTATAGTGATATATTTTAGGAATCATTTCATAGGCGAATCGATCAGGATTGTAAGGTCCTTCAGTAATTTCAACCGGAATCAGAAATCTGTAACCTATATCCCAGTAAAGTTCAATTAAATTTTCGAATTCAACTCGGATAGCTTATGCGATACCCTATGCAATTTCTTCTTCCGGTAACAGACATGCTTTCAACGTTACCGCGTCTGGCTTTCCCTCAGACATTCCAAAAATGTAAAACAGCGCGTATTCAATTCTTATCCTGACCGCTTTTGGATTTTTACTGATCAACAAATAGAGCGGTGGTGCGGAGTGTAACTTTTTTTTTGGCTTCGCAACACTAGCGCGTGTTTCATCGGAAAATCTACTCGTGACCGAGGTACATGTTGAACCAAATGAAACTGCACATATACTTAACCCGTGAAATCTAAGGTCGTGATAATGTTCACAGATATAAAAAGTGATGATAGTATTAATTAGAATGTAAATACAAACAAATTTGCTAACACCAAACCTCGCCATTGATCTGTTCACCGCACAAGTGACAAAGAATGAACAATTGCTCAGCACCGCTACCAATTAGTTAAAAAAGAAAGTATCGTTGCTGGCACATCTTCTGGCATGAATGTGGCTGCAGCAATCCGAATTGCAGCAAAGATACCAACGAGTTCTACTGTAGCTACTATCGCGGGTGATATTGGCTTGAAGTACTTTTTTATCTCATTATACAATTCCAAGACCTCCTTCGATCGGATCGCATTTGAACAATGCCGGATTGAAAATGAGTAAATCTGCAGTTGCTTTACCTGTTCTGAGCACTTTGGGAAGTCGTTCTTCCACCAGCTTTTAGTGAGGAGAAGCTTAAGGCGCTTCTCGTCATGCAGCTGTATTTGAAGATGATAGTAGCGGTGAAAACTCGATAAGCGATCGTGCAAACAATAAAACAACAGGTGCATCTTCACGAGAATCGAGTAGTGAAGCAGTTAAACAATCAAACGAACTTGCACGTGTACGTCAAAACTAAAATAAACAAAAGAAGAAGCAAGAGCAAAGAGGAAGCGGAAGCGGCGATATCGAAAAACGTGGAATGAGCGGAGATGTTGGATCGCGTAAACGAACATCGCATTCATCTGTAGATGTTCAAGTTCAAGCTGAATTTGATGAAAAAGATGATTCGTCAATGTCGCAGAACGTCTGATCCAGCAACATTTTTGCCGGAGGAAAGCCACTACGAAATAAAACGGCCGTCAATGCTCCCGGAGTCGGATTACCACAATCTCCTCGTACGACCAGAAGAAATATGTTGAAAGGTAGACTTTCGGAAAATTTACATCTCAGCTTATTATAGGAAAGACAAAGTTGAAATCGAATATTGGGCGTCGGAGGCAATAGGGTTACCACTGCACCTTTGGACAATGAAGGTACGGCTGAGAAACAAGTTTAAATGTGTCGTCAAAGATCCAATGAAGGTGATTGACTTGATTTGCTCTATGAACACTGACACCGCTTCTATGCAATCGGCGCCATCGTCTGCTCCACTTTCGCAAAGTCACAGTCAACAAGGTCATTCAACTTTCCATCGTACACAATTCAACTTAGGTGGTTGTGCGCTTCGTCCTTTGACGCAGAGGAGCACGGTGTCTGATCCAAATGCGAATCGAAAGAAAGAAAGTTCTTCTTCCCGTGTGCCCTATACTGGAGATTTCCATCATACATATTGGTGATGATAGATAACAAATGTGTACAAGGTGTACACGAAACAGGGATATCTTCTTTCTAATTTGCTATGAGTACGTACCCAATCATTTTATATTAGTATTTTACGCTTTTTATTTAATTCTTTATAATAATATTTTCTAAGCTTCCACTTTCAGTGTCTTCTTCTATGCGATGATAAATGCAACATTTTGTGATCGAAGAATGTCAGAATATACCGGACGTAGTGCTGCGCGGCGCGTTATTGAATACGTCACTCAGTCTCATTCTACGGTACCGGATGCATGCGGTCGTTTCATACAGAGATAGGATGAGATACCTGATCTCCTCTTGGCTCTTGACCTTGAGGCAATAAAGGAAAGTACGTTTGCTGAAAGTTGTATACTTTTGTCAAGAAAGCCACCAAGCACTGGCCAAATTGAGTATGAAGTGGAAGGAAGAATAACTTTTTTTTTGATTCATCTCAACTTTCGGCTCCGTGCTTGAGCCCAGACACGCCATTTGTGCATGGCTGGTGCTGAAAATCAATAGAACAAAGATGAATGTATGCGTGATAAAATGGGCGCAATAAAAAACAAAGGTTCATGGGTCACAAATTTGGGTAGTAAAAATTAATTTTTGTCTTTTTTCGATTAAACGACGACGACGATATTAATGATACCAAAAAATGACGGCCAACAATGACGGAACAGGAAATCACAACCAAACAAGTCTTGCTTCTTCCTCCAGTGCAATGATTGTACCGAAAAAGCTTGAATTTGATACGATGCAAAGTATTGATCTTACGGGCCGGTTATCGTGCTTCACCTATAGGTCCTTGCAATACGTTTGTTGGAGGAAGTGGGACGGGAATGACAAATATGCTATCAAATTCACGAATCAAAAATTGTTACTTGCCACATATTACATCGGAAGACTTAAAGACGCAAAACGAAACTATCAAAGAAAGAAAAAGAGGTAGAAAATCTGCTCCTCATGTTTCAGCATTATCTGTTAATCCTATCAAAGAGAAAACTGTTTAAATTGAAGGAGAAGACGAGAAAACAGAAGCAGATAATTCTTTTGCCTCATCCTCTTCAAGTATTCCTCCTTCATCTTCTCTATTTGGCGGAGCAGGCAATCATCCTTCATCAAATTCAACTGAAAATCCAATTTAACGTTCGATGGTTGATTCTCAAAACATTTCTTTTTTAGCCTTTCTTTCATTTAATTCACAAAAAGAACAGCCGGAATCATCGTTTTCTAATTGCTGTCCATCAAAAGTGGAAAGGGCTACCCTACTTCCTCAATTGAAAACTCAATTGCATCTTGCTCACGAATTAGAGCAAATTCGTCAAACGTCCGGGTCAAATCTTGGTATAGTGTAATGTTGCTGGGTTGCTGGGTTTGTTTACTCTAATCTCAAATTTATCAGGCACCTTTTATTGGTTCAAATCAAAGCAAGACTACATAGAAATTCGATTCGACTTGGTGTGGATATAAGAAAATGAATGGATATGTGTGCAGATAAAGAGAATGTTTATATATATATATATTATGTAAATTTCATCAACTTGAGTTGAAAGTTGAGTATGCAAACCAGGCCTTTGCGCAAGAAGAAAGAGATCCCTGTATGAATTTTTGAGATTGTTTGGACGATTTGTTTGAGAGAAAAATGCGAATTGACGATGAAAAATGAGACGAGATATGACAAATGTACAGTTTGCGTATGAATGATAACGAGATCTCTTCATTGGTGTAGAAAGAGAAAAATTAATGGCATGCAAAACTTGACGATGAATGAACAAACAATAAACATGCTAATCAGATCATGATACCAAACCGGTAGCCATGATCCGAAGGAATTTTCTCGTATTGAGAGGAGAGGATGAAGGAAGATAGAGAAAAAGAAAATTGTCCGCCTGTACAGTCTTGAGCAACTGTGCAAAGCAAGGTTGTACGCCTTGCCAATGCCTCATCTCGTTTATCATAGCAACATCTTCGCCCGTGATGCCCAGCAAATTTGTATTTGTGCTTGAAGGATGTTGAGCAGACATGGATCTTCCATGTGTGTGAATTGATGATTGTTTTGCTGTTGTTGCTATTGTAATACTGCAAGGTTCGGATGAGGTTGTTGAGAAGCAGACATTTGCATCTGTTGCTGTTCTTGTTATGGTGTATGAGTTTGCATATGACCTGAAAAAAATATGGGATCTGGACCAGAATGTGCTACAGCATTCAATTGGCCTTGCAAATTTCCCAAAACGAAATAATTACTTGGGCTCAATTGAAAAGGTTTTCGAGCTATGAAGGCCAAGACTACTTCCAAAAATTCTCGTGCTTCTTCAACGTGACTGGACGATCATCTCCTCCAGCTCCACTTGGAGATCCGGAAGAGGATGTATTGGTAGATAGAAGCATGCCCAACGTATCATGTCGAACAGAAGGCGAACTTACCATCATATCGGGTGGCGAATTACAATCATGTGGATGATGTTGCTTTGCATTTGATGGGCAGCATTTATCGTATTACGAAGATTGATCTTTGGGCTTGATCCTGCCCGTTGTAAAGCTTGCATCATCATATTTTCGATGAAGGTCCATCTGGGTTATCAGGTTGGATTCCTCCTTGGGATTGCATTTGTTTTTGTTGCAACCTTTGCTCAAGCATAATTCGCGCATGCTCATCACGATGAAGCTCTTGTACAGCTGCAGCAGTTGCAAGAGCGACAGGATTATTCGTTTGCTGCGATAAAGCATTAATAATTGGACGTGTCCACTTTTCGTTCTGCGCAATTGCCCTCGGATCATATTCATCTGAATACTACCTTCGCTGGTAGCATCGTTCGCACTACCACTGCCACTTCCACCTCTGCTAAGCTCAGCAGACGCAGCAGCTCCTCTACGTCTCTTCGTCGCACCAATACCAGCAGAAGAGGATGATGAAGACGAAGAGCTGGCAATTGCATACCTGGAATCATCGTGCTGATGAACACCGTTGTTAGATTGCTCGCCTTGTACGTGTGGATTTATCAAGTTTTGAGTTGGTAAATGCACTCGTGCCATTGTTGCGTCAATTGGCGAAACGCCACGGTGATGGGCCATATCATCATAATGGCGTTTTGAAGCTTTTGGTGTTTCTTGAACAGCATTGATATTTTTCTCAGTGGAAGTTGAACGTAGCCTTTGCAGAGTAAAAGCATTTGAAAGCGCATTTGTCTGTGATGGTGGTGGTGAATAAAACAATCCTGCATCTCGTTCCATCTGATTGGCCAATTGAGGATCTTGAAAGTGCGATGGATGTTGCCCTTGCTGAGCAGTAGCTAATCTGAATCCAGATCGGAATGTTTCTTCGCGTTTCCGCTCATCTTCCGCACATATCTGATCACTCGAATCTCCAAAATCCGGTGGCATTGCAGGCTTTGGTAGCTTATGTCTTTCTCTGAATTTTTCAACCCAACCCAAAGAAGCTTTGAATTGATCAGCACCGATGCCAATTTCTTTTGCCACTTCCAAAGCACGATGTCTGATAATCATGTCCAAAACCGGCGTTTCTTTACCAACTTCGTCATTGATCCATTCAGCTACACGTCGTTCAAGATCTGGGAATTTGCCCGTTCTTTGTTTCATGATAAATGCAGATTGCCCTTCGTCCTGAATAACAAGCCACTTTCCCTTTTTTTTGAACGTCTTGCTCACCGTACTTCTTTCGATTCCGAATCGAGCTGCTAACTTTTCCTGTCGAACCTTTGGATCATCTCGTGCAGCTTCACAGATCGCTTTTCGATCGATATTGCGCAATCTAGTTCTCACCTATGGGGTCTCCTTACCTCCACTGCTCAAGAAATCGTCAACAGATATGGAAGAAGCTTGACTCTGAACAGCTGACAAGGTTGTTGCGCTATTAGAAACGCTATCCGTAGAGGTATCAATAGATGAGTCACCAGCATGACGATGACTTGGAATGGAAGAATTGGGAGAAAAGTTACCAAGGAAAGCGGTGTGAGGATGAACATGAATTGACATTGACAGCGCAGGTTCTGCTTCTTGCACGCCAAACCTGTCAATCGAGGAAAATGTATCGGTACCACGCAGTGGTCCGCCTGATTTCAGTAAGCCATCATCTCCATTCCCACTCATTACGGTACCAATTTGACCTAAACTTCGATTTCGACGACCGATTGCTTGCAACCGCGATTGTGCAGAATATGATCCGACACCTCTTCGCAAAGGCGAAGCGCCAATGATGTGTGTCTCATTAGCCTGCCGCAAAATCTCCATGTTGTCAATCTCCATAGACATATGAGATTCTGCAGATCCAGGCGCACGATGGTGAGATGAAAACTCGCGTCTATGATGTGCAGCTCTTGAATCCGTGAGGCTGTTGTTGCTATCAAGGCTAAACGTTCGTACATGATCATAGTGCTGATGCTGTAATCGCGCTCTAGTCAAAGGAGCAGGTGTTGCGGAACCAGAGCGTTCGGATTGGTAGAATCACTACGTTGTCGATTGTGTTGTTCGACAGCTGCAATAGCTGCCGCGACAGCAGCAGCATTTGGATCCGGACGATTAAAGCTGGCGTTTTGAAAGAGAGCATGATTAGCAAGATGAAGGGTATTACTTCCATTCAAATCTTGACCACCGTTCCGTTGTCTTTGAACAGAGGTGTATATGCAGTATCTTCTGATGAACTTTCAAGCACAGAAGACTATCTGTGGGCCGAGGGGCGACATCTTATGGGCTCAGGCGCAGAGAGTATACATGATCCGGAGCCAGATTTCGCTTTTGGCCTTGCCACAGCCACAGAGCAGAGACCTCGCAGTTATAGAAATATTTGCCTAGATTGGGACGTCTTGAACTTTACTAAAATTTTCTCGTCATACAGGATTACCTTCAGCTCCTCGCAAATGCAAGGTATTATCTACCCCGCTTTTATTTATGAGGCAAAGTCAGACAAGAATCCCACCATCTGGGCGGAAAATCAAGTGGCTGTAAGCGCAGCCCGAGCATCAGGCCTGCCGGACGAGCTTGCAGTGGATCTTAGTAATCTAAGCAAGTTATTAAGCAAATCAATTGAATGTAGAAGAAAAAATCAAAGCAATAATTGACATAACGGTGCAAGTCCAAGCTTAGCGTGTCATTTCAATCGCTGCTCAGTGAGGCCTTTAGCTTTATTCATTTCAATTTTTGTTGCATAGACAAAGGGAGTCAGCCGTGAGAAAGTACGAAAAGTCTGTACAGAATCCTAGACTTGAGGATAGGCAGCGAATGTGCCGAGCTTTACAGATATATTACACTTGCCGAACATAGGCATATCAATTGCTGATCTGAGCACCGTTCTGACAATACCGTTGCCTTTCAGAGTAAGGTCGTACGGAATGACGGCACTCTTTCTTTCTAATTTCAATTTTAGGATCCCGATGAGAAAGATAATGGAAAGCAGTGCAATTTCAAGATGCACGTGTACAACCACATGCCCATTTTGAGGATTTGATGCCTTTACTGCCAAATGACGCGTAGCGAAAAATCATACGGATCCATCACAAACCTAATCTTTGTGCCCATCCAAGGTCTAATCATGTCACATCTATCAAAAGTCTAATCAAGTAAGCGCCCATTCTTTTCGCTATCCTATGTATGTACAAAAGTAAATCGGATATTAGAATTCATATACTATAAAAGACCTGGCTTTGAGTCGGACAAATTTTGATGCATTCAACGTAATGTTTGCTCAAATGAATTGTGAAAAGTTTCGTCTCATTTCTTGTTTAGGCGAAAGTGCTTTTGGAATAGTTAACCAAGCAGTCAATTTCCAGACAAATATTATGAGTGAATGTCTTGTTGCCCCTTTTTTGTTTTTCACCTTATTTCCAATGTCTTTGTTTTAGAAAGTCGCGGTCAGATGTATCAAAACAAATCAAGCCCTTGCTGCGCTAGAAGATGTGAAGCGGGAAGCAAACATTCATTCGAAGATGAAACATGTGAAAATTGTCGCTCTAGAGAGTTTTTGCATCCCACAAAACGTTTTACAATTGGAGTTAGAATTATGCGAGGGGCACTCTTTGTGATGCTCTCTTTTGCAAACAAAATTTGTGAGTGATGTGATTATCAATAGAACTGAAACATATTTATTGACACTTTCACTCTTCATCAAGCGACCCTACGGTCAGAAATGGTATTTGCGCCCAGCCTTGTTCAGCTATTCACTATCTTCATGAGGGTGCTTTAGCAAATGACGCTGTGATTCATCGGGACATCAAATTAGAAAATGGTAAGAGTGAATCTTTTTGTGTGTGATACGCACCGTCATTGACTTTTTTTCCTTTCTACAGTTCTGCTCACGCGGGGAATGCAGATCAAACTTGGTGATTTTGGACTTGCTATTTCTAAACCCCGCGATAGTGCTGGCAGATGGGGAATAGCTGGAGTGATTGTTGTATTATCTTCAGAATCAGAAGTCTATTCTGACTGACAACTTTCTTTTTCTCTCTCCGATGTGCGTTTCAAGACAAAAAATTACATGTCGCCTGTGCGTAATTTTTGTTGCCTCTTTAAAGTTGCCCATCGTACTAACCCATATTCTAAAACTCCAGGAGATGATTCGTGGTCTCAAATATGGAAAGAAAACAGACTTATGGTCACTAGGGACTCTGCTCTGCGAGATCTGGACGTGAAGGTGAACATTCTTAGAGAAACATAAAAGCAAAAAGAAACCTAACTTTATTGCTTTACAATTTTACGGTGTTTTTCACTGGCCTAAGGGTTTATCAGTTGAAAACTCTATCGCCGCTATGCTTTCAGAGCCTTTGAGCGATGACGTGTCTCAGGTGCTGGCACTATTCCTGCAAATAGATGTGAGTATTAAATTTCTGTTTATAGTCTTTATGCTTACATTCTACCTATTCCCTTTCATCGAAAAGCCTATTCACGACGCGAGGCAAATACGCCTTTGGCATTTTCAGGATGTTGAAAGCCTTGATGAACAACAATAGCAGGTGAGTATTTCGAAGGTCATTTGTGAGCACACCGCTTATCTGTACGTCTACATTTAGGTGTTGAAGACGGAGGAAGCGATAAGTCTTTTCAATCAGCAAAGAGTGAAAAAGATTCAGAACTCACGTGAGTGTAATCGAGAAGTTTATATTTTTTAAGCATATGTACTAATATCACCATGCTGGCTTTTTATATGTACTAATATCACCATGCTGGCTTTTTAAAAGATTTCCTGAATTCACCTTTCTGGTTAAGCATTGAAAAGTCTGTCCAGGGAGTTCTAATGCTAGCAAATGTTCCGGACTGCTTGCAATTGGATCACACAAGGATGCAAAAAGTTTGGCTATTACTACCCATGCGCTAGCAGACGGAATCGAGGATATGACGTCAACCTGTGTTACACTTCGGATACTATACAAAAAAGCACAATGCTCGAGCAAATATTCTCCACAGCAAGTCGAGATCTTCTGATTGTAACATTTCTAGATGATTCAAACATTTGACACTGATAAACTTCACTCTGCTCTTTACAACTACTGAACGATCAAGTATGCGATTCGGCGTGTTGTGACACGTGTGTACCTTATTAGAAAGCAGCTCAGTTTTCCTTAACCAGCAGAAGGAGAGTAGATTAATCAACACTTCACTTCAACGAGTACAGTGAAGTAGGCTTTTCTTAATAGAAGTTAGTGTTCCATATTCTGTAGATTTGATCGCGATGTGTGTGAGGTAATACAGGCAAATGCGAAACAACGCACATGATTCGTGCTGACTCTGGTTTACTGCTGTTTGGAAATGCTCTCTATGCCAATGGGGAGATGTATCAGGCTATGTAATGAGCCAAAGATTGTTATCAACTAATCATAGCTGAGATGAATGGTCAGCTTCCGCGGTTTAGGACATCGTCAGGTACACGATGGTACACGATCTACTGGTAGGGGTTGTTAGGGGACATTCAAGGCATGTAAAAAAAATTGGGTTGTTGAAAGCGCAGACTACCTTTCCTTCGATAAGTTCTTGTACACAAACACTTTCTACGCCAGAAGGAACACTCGTCGGCACTCCATTCATTTTTCTGGTGATATGATATAAACTCCACTGAAGTCTATGTTTGCAATTCTCCTCACGGGAGTTATCGCCTGCAAGACGAGCAAATCAATTTTCAATAGCATCGAGCTGTGTAGACTCTCTGAAATCGTAAGCTGCGTCTTCGTTGTCTGACTTCTCCTGATCAGGCTTCATCGGTTCCGTCGCTGCTTTGGTAAATTACTCGACTATGACACAGATGTGGTGGCGGTGGAATATTCTGCAATGTATCCTGATAAAGCCTTCTTGATTATTCCATACTATTTCCCAAAAAGTATGTAGGAAACGTCAAATAGATACATGGTCGGGGTCTCAAACAAAGCTTCTCTCTGTTTTTGTTAAGTAGTCTCTCGGAACGCGCGCTATTGTTTAGACTCACTTTTTCTTGAATGTCGACCGACTTTTATCGTCCAGTGGTGGGTGCGGGTGAGACAACCAGCTTTTGCACGATTGAGTCTTTGTGATCGAGCACGTTTTGCTGTAGAGTCATTTGTTTGATTAGAAGGTGCCATTCTCAATCATTCTTGAACGCCACCTTTGCCTTTTTACACAGCCATGACAATGATGACGGTTTCGGAGGAAAGTTTTGCTCGTTGAGATGGAATGAAAGGAATCCAATTCATACGGCAACTCCGAGCCTGAATGCGACTTTGACAGCTTTTAGCTTTTTGAGCCAGAGTGAGAGTTCCGATAGATAACGGAGCATGACCGTTTGCATTGAAGGTACACGAACAATTCTTATCTTTCCCACTTTGACAAAAAGCACAGGAACAGTCTGCCATTGTACTTTTTAAACGCGCACGACACTATATCAGCACTACATTAGTCATATGCAAGGTATTGAATTGAACTATCAATCAGAGTGAATTTAAAGTGCGGCTTTTTGGCCGAAAATTTTACGCGCGTGATCTCATCTCTTGACAGTCATACTGAAGTTTGGCCGATCTCTCTTTTCCGCCCACACACGCGAGGGGCATGTGATAAGATATGCTATGGACGCGGGCAACCAATCACAACGAATTCTAATTCATATTCATTGTCCAGCAATTTAAATATACTGATAATATAATTGAGTCAGATGCAATGAAAGTTTTTTATGTTATACTCTTTTTTCGATGGCTCATAAACTGTCAAAATGGGGGGAAGAGTCGTAAATTAGAATTTTGAATTTAACAGCACCTTCAGTGTCTGGAAGCTTACGCTTGTCTAATGTCTCGGCATGA